CATAAAAATGGCTCGGTTAATACAAATCACCAATGAAGAGAATTAGTAATTAGGTTTAAGTGGTACTTACACTGAGTATTCTGGATTACTCGTGGACATCTATATACTTATTTCTTTCATACTTGTAAATAGTTTCTCACACATTTTTAAATATTGCTTTGGATTCAGCAATAGATAAATTAAACGTTGGACCAGGTATTAACTATTGGAGTAGTGAAGTGTGTATCTGAAGATCCAGGGTTCGAGGCGAATACATTCAACCTCGTTCAGTTTCAGGAATTGTACAAAGTTCTTGTAAGGGTGGGTGCTGCTGATTGGCTACCATCCCTCTTGTCAGTTCAAAATTAGGGATGGCTATATTATAGACCCTAGAGGGTCTCTGACCTAGACATTTAGCCCATACGTGCATAAAATGATGTTCAGATTAAGATACTAATATCAAACAAATGTTTTCTTTTTTTCGTATGTGTCTATGTTATAATAATCGTGCTTATCATATTAATCCTTATAAAAAAGTTTTGTATAGTTTTCATAGTGATGTAGATATGAATAGCTTGAGGCAGTAGGTGATCATATAATATTCAACTATTAGTTATTCTTTGTGAAATTATTATCTTAAAGAGGGTAAAATTTGCCACATGACATTTGTTTTGTTTGAATTACTGTGGCCAAACTTTAAAGGTTCAATGGTTTGAAAAATAAGTTTCAACTACCAATGACACACAACTTAGTAGTAAGCAATAATATTATAAGTGATATGTTTGTTGCCTTCCTTAATACCAATACAACAATTCAATAAACTAGAGACAGATAACAATTGTCAGTCGGCCATGTGACAAGATAATCACAACTAGAGACAGATAACAATTGTCAGTCGGCCATGTGGCAAGAAAATCACAACTTGAGAAAGATAACAATGTCAGTCGGCCATGTGACAAGATAATCACAACTAGAGACAGATAACAATTGTCAGTCGGCCATGTGGCAAACAAATCACAACTAGAGACAGATAACAATTGTCAGTTGGCCATGTGGCAAGAAAATCACAACAAAAGCAGGTAAAATGGTAGTTTATACAGAAATTAGAAACTCTTAAAGAGTTACTTCAAAGAGTTATCAGTTTTCATGAAACCTTATTCTTCAGAATCATCAACCGTGCATTTAAATACTTGCTCTCCCAAAGACATTTTTTAAAAAGGGTTTGGTTTGTTTTGAATTTCGTGCGAAGCTACACGAGGCCTACCTGCGCTAGCCGTCTCTAATTTAGCAGTGATAGACAAGAAGAAAGGTAGCTAATCATCACCTATCACCGCCAACTCTTGGGATACTCTTTTACCAACGAATAGTGGGATTGACCATCACATAATAACGCCCTTACAGCTGAAAGGTGTGCCGGAAATTCGAACTCGCGACCTTCAGATTGCGAGTCGAGTGCCCTAACCACCACGCATGCCATGCCTTATAAAAAGGCTATTTGTGTCTGAAAGGTGTTGTTACACTACGCATTTATTTTGGGGACATGCCTTTATCCAGACAAATCTCTTTGGATCAACTGTCGCCGCTCAGAGAAACTTTATCTTCATAGCAATGTATTTGGTGTTCGTTAAGCCCAGAATTACTGTTAAGATTCATAGACACTATCGGCTTTTATAAACATATTTTACAAAAATCTTTATTTACCAAATTGCTTATGGATCCATGACTCAGTTGGTTACAGGTTTCCTAATGACATATGACTAGCACACAAATAAAATAACGATGAAATACCATCTATATTGGTCAGTTCTTTACTCCGAGTGTTGTACTCAGTATAATGTAATATATGGTCCTTCATTGATAGGAACAGTATCAAAACAAACTATAATGTAATATATGGTCCTTCATTGATAGGTTACAGTATCAAAACAAGTTATAATGTAATATATGGTCCTTCATCCATGGGTACAGTATCAAAACAAGTTATAATGTAATATATGGTCCTTCATCCATGGGTACAGTATCAAAACAAGTTATAATGTAATATATGGTCCTTCATCCATGGGTACAGTATCAAAACAAGTTATAATGTAATATATGCTCATTCATTGATAGGAACAGTATCAAAACAAGTTATAATGTAATATATGGTCCTTCATTGATAGGAACAGTATCAAAACAAGTTATAATGTAATATATGGTCCCTCGTCCATAGGAACAGTATCAAATCAAGTTATAATGTAATATATGGTCCTTCATCCATGGGTACAGTATCAAAACAAGTTATAATGTAATATATGGTCCTTCATCCATAGGTAACAGTATCAAAACAAGTTATAATGTAATATATGGTCCTTCATCCATAGGAACAGTATCAAAACAAGTTATAATATAATATATGGTCCCTCGTCCATAGGAACAGTATCAAAACAAGTTATAATATAATATATGGTCCCTCGTCCATAGGAACAGTATTAAAACAAGTTGGTAATTTCAGGTTTAAGAGCATCAATCGCGCTAAAGATATTTTTCTGTCATATTTAACACGTTTCTTCTTTTATTCCAAGAGCACTCCTCTTCTTTCTTCTACAGTTTAATCACCCAAGTTTTTGTACAAACATGTACTTTAAACCTGCTCCACACCTTGAGCTGACTTCATAAAGATGGGTTATAAATATTAACGATATCAAATGACTAAGCAAAGACGTATTTATCAGTGTTATTGTAAACTACTCCTGGCCTGTTGCTCATGGAGATGGCCTAGTGGTAAATCTGCTCCGACTCAGGATTCGTGGCTCCTGTAAAACGTGCGATACACACGCGAGTGCATATCCTACTATTTGTCAGATAAGAGTAGCGCCAGAGTTGGCGGTGGGTGCTGTTGACTACCTGCTTTCTCTCTAGTCTATCAGTTCAAAAAGAAGACGGTTATGTGTATATATAGCTCTTGTGTAAGTTTGTGTGAAAAGTCTAAAACAAACAAACAGTGGCTCATGAGTACTGTGAATATGTAATCACTGTGAAAACGAGCTATTCTTTCCACTGTACTAATTTGTTACTAAAGTGAAAATAATAACTCGTTTCCACATTGATTTAGTATTCAATAATAATATACTCAGTCCTTGGATATATTCTGTGTCAGCGAGAAATTGGTTAACATTTTTGTTGGCCATCGAGTTTGGTTTTTTTGTTTGTTTTATTTTATTTGTTGGAAACATGATATCCTTCTACTAGTATGATAACTGGCAAAAGTTTCAATATCTATAAATGTGGCTTAGATTTTGGAAAATGTAATTTTATCAACGTTAAAATGGAACATAAAAAGTAAACTTCCTTATTAACTGAGTTAATTACAGAGATACATTGTGCTGTGTTATCTTGAAGCGAATCATCAAATAACTGGTTAAATCTAATACTACTTAGCTTATTACTGTTACTGGAGATTTCCTTTATACAAGAGTTAATGGGGCTCAAAGTAGCAATGGCATGTTTAGTGAAATTAGCTCTACTAATTATACTCAAATTAAACATGTTGATGCAATAACACTAACTTTATTACAATTCTTTTGGGGACTACATTTCAAGGCATAATTTGTACAAAAGTCGTAGTTTAAATGATATATGTGCTTCTGCTACTGTCGAGGTCCAGACATAAAAAGAAAGTAGATGAATTTAAATTATCTGAAATCAAGAAATCAAACGACTAAGCATTAAGATTATTTTGTATTTATGCTAACGGTGCTGAGGCTATCTGCCCCTGTCTCTAGTTTAGAACTACTGAAAAGAGGGAAAGAAATCAGTCAACAGCATACATCAATCAACAGTCAACACCATCTACGCTAACACATTGGCTCTCATCCATAAGTTTGAATTACGAGGAATTGTTTATGGTATCGCAAGGATTTTAACCCAGATCACCAGCTCCAAATTACACAGCTCTACAACTGGACCAAACCACATCTGTACTAAGGGCACATGTAATCACTTACCACTAAAACCAGCCATGTAACTAACATTTTCACAGTGTATTGGTTGCCACTAAAACCAGCCATGTAACTAACATTTTCACAGTGTATTGGTTGCCACTAAAACCAGCCATGTAACTAACATTTTCACAGTGTATTGGTTGCCACTAAAACCAGCCATGTAACTAACATTTTCATAGTGTATTGGGAAATCGGAATGATAATATGAATGAAACGTTAAGATTCAAACATACTGTTGGCGCGAACATGCTTCGTAGTCACTATGAGAAGTACCTATACACTGGATAGGTAAAGTGAAGAAAAAGTGTCACTGGCCACTATTCAGTTCTTCACATTATATAGCAGCATAATAGCAGATATAATAAATAAACCGAGTATTCCGAAAATTGTTTAATTTCGAAGTCTAAGTTCAAGGGTTACTGATGAGGAATGAAATTCCCCGAAACTAGTATAACCCAATAACTCACGTTGATCAAAGTGTAGATTGAACTGGACCTCCTTTGAACTTAGACTTCGAAATTAAACAATTTTCGTAATACTAAGTTTATTTATTATTTATTAGACGTTAAGATTCCTAAACAAATATAAGAACAAAATAGTTAATCCACCTTACCCTGCAAGCCGATAAGGTATGGTTAGCGTGCCTCACTGTTAACCTGAAGGTCCAGAGTTCGCATCTCGTTGTTCCAAAATCGCGCTCCATGCTTGGTTGCGTTATGGAATAACAGTCAAGTTCTATTAAAGTAACAAAGAGTTGACGGTGGGTACTGTTGTTTAGTTACCTTTCCTCAATCTCTCAGTTCAAAGCTAGGGACAGCTAGCTTAGATAGTCCTTGCTTATAATTGTGTAAATATGCAAAAAAGCCAACAAATCAAAATGAAGATCATTCGGTTGAAACATTAAATTCGATAAAATTAATCAAGAAAAAGAAAAAAAAATGACTTTTTCAGGAGTTATGTGAAAACAACCTTTTATATTTCTTATTAAATATTTAGTTTCTTCTTGAAACTATTTCAAACATTTCTTTATATTTTCAGATTCTATCGTTTTACAGCTACATTTGTTTGTTATGAAAGGACAGACCAAAGCAGTTGACAACAGAGATCGTTTGTGTGGTGTTATAGATGTTTCAGTAGCGAAGAACAGAGATGGACTATCCAAAGAAGAATAAATCCAGGACTTTGAATTTTGACTGGACAAGTTTAATTAGAAGGTAAAGCTTATTCCAAGATACTTCAGAAAAAATAAAACATTAAATTTATGCTTACCAGATTTTTTATTTTAAAATATGAATCTGTTTAAAAGATTAGTTTTGTTCAGTAAACTTTTCAAAATATAAAATTTAGTAAGTTTCCTAGATTAATTCTTTGTAAAATTCACATAAGTGTGTCATTTGATAACAATGGACTTACTAAACTACCAAAACAATGGACTTACTAAACTATCAACAATGGACTTACTAAACTACCAACAATGGACTTACTGAACTACCAACAATGGACTTACTAAACTACCAAAACAATGGACTTACTAAGCTACCAACAGTAGACTTACTAAACTACCAAAACAACGGACTTACTAAGCTACCAACAACGGACTTACTAAACTACCAACAATGGACTTACTAAACTATTAACAACGGACTTACTAAACTACCAAAACAACGGACTTACTAAACTACCAACAGTAGACTTACTAAACTACCAAAACAATGAGCTTACTAAACTACCAACAATGGACTTACTAAACTACCAACAGTAGACTTACTAAACTACCAAAACAATGAACTTACTAAACTACCAAAACAATGAGCTTACTAA